TGTTTTGTATCGACCAATAGAAAATTATTTCATGGACTGGAAGTTGGCCAGTTGTTTATTCAACCACCAGACATCATTTATTGCCGGTTAGTAAGTTTCAACACTCAAATTCTGCTCGTCAATTTTGTAACTATATAGGTCCACAGCGTTTTATTTCCGTATTCCATGGCTTCGGAAAACATCCATTGCATAACGTCCAAGCAATTTGTGACAATTTTAAAGATATTTGACAAAGACGGTAAGACAGTTTCTAGTAGAACATCTGCCAGCACGTATCCGCAAGTTTTAATATATTGCCCTTATATCTCTATTTGCTGACTTTTTCTCGTACGTTGATTTGAATTCCCAGGCAATGGACACATCGTCAAAAGTGAATTGGATGCGTTTCTGAAGGCATTTGAGGACGAGGTATTTAATCTTTTTAGTTCTTAAGACCTGGGCCACTCCTTGCACGTTTTGGTTCTAATAGTTTTCAGCATCGTTTACATTAAGGACTAAAATTTTGTTGTCTTAACGGAAAACCTTAGAATGATAATAAAGAAATTTGTGCATAATATCTTATATGTGCATACTCAGCTAAACCGTCAATTCTGCTACAAATTGTCCAGAAATATGGAAACACATTTTCACACATTTCGACTTTGAGGAGACTATGTTTGCGGGACGCTATATAGGCGAAAATATAGAATAGCGAGACAAGAATCTATCACAGCTTGTTTACGTGTAATACGCGCAAGAGTTGTCATATTTTCAGTAGGGTAGTAATTCGCAAATTCACTGGCAATTCGATAGGCCGATCCTCCCCAACCAATTACAGATATATGTCCTACATTTAAAAAGGGGACAGTTATTGAGTTTGCTTTTTTGCTTTCTGCAGGTATTCTGTTTGCTAATATACATTCGGTCGTTAAAGAGTGCGATACTATTGTAAACTACCTGCTGCCACCAGTCAAATTTGAGGTGGCTCTGGCATGCATTTAGCCAAGTAGATTTTCATTAACTATAGACTGAGTTTGGCAACTGGTAAATGATAGCTGTCATTGAGAGTTTTTTCTCAGTTAGCAGTTGAAAAATTTGGGTTCATTGTCAGTAGTCAGTTTGGATATTCAAGTTCACTGTAGAGTCTTCCGTTATAATGTTCTCTGTTAGTGTCAGTTGTCAGTAAAGATGAGCTCATCACCGTTTGTTTTCGGGTTAGAAGAGTGAATACTCACACAAGATGGCGGGTCCAACAACAAGATTGTACTGATAAGAGCACATGGTAATACACGCGACCGCTGTGCACTACGCGGGTTCATAGAACTACTCCAATGGCTGAACAATCAATATAAAACATCTCGATCACTATAACAACCACATGATCTATCAGTTAAAATGCCCAATAATTTTTTTTTAGTTGCCGACTAAAATGCTGACTCGATTTTAATATTTGAAGCATTTGTTAGTTGCTTGTTAAGCCTTTGACTATTTTGAAGTTATTGGAAATTCCAACCCATGTGTACAAAAGCCCAACAAGTGAAAAAAGTATTGCAAGACTGTTTCACTGTCATATTTACAAAACTTTCGTTCTCTCGGTCTTTAATTTGGACCTCTATTGTGGCAACAATTCCCCGCCGGACTATTTTTTCTACAATGTAAATATATCGTAACCAATAGGTGTTATAAAGGATAGCCGCCATGACGGCTTCCGTTGAAAAAGCAATCGGGATACTTTATCGAATTTGAATCTGAAGATGACATCCCCTCAGATTGTCAAAACGTTAGTCACCAACAACAGTTCTTTTCAGAACTACATAATTAACTACAAAGTTCAGTTTTTTGTATATATAATGATTGCAGACTGATAACAGTAACATCTTAGACCAGTACACACTACGCCGGAGAAATTTGAAATCGGCATTTTCACTCAGAAAACGGATGAAATCTTTTCTGTCCTAACTACGCCGGTGAAATTTGAAAAGTCGCAACGATGACCGGCGTATAGTAACACTTCCGTTAATTTTTGTTTTAATTTTGACAAATTTCACCTCATCAGTCAACGTACTGCTTAAAGTATACGTTTTGATTAATTCCCACTTGCAACACTTTATTTCTTTTACAGGGTTTAATAGAAAGTTCCAGGGCCGTTGAAATTGCGGAGAAAATCCGTGAACAACAAGACGATGACGAGGAATTGGTGACTATGACCACGGTAATAGCATAACTAGATACGTATCCTATGCTAAGAGAAGGTTAAGGCTAAATTTGTTCGCAATTCACAGTTGTTGCGGGGCTCAGGTGCCTCACACGTGTAAGTGCAATTTTGGTTTCTACAGAGCAATTTTCAACTAAGTTGCGTAAAACGAAAGCGCCGTCACACAGACAATCCGATGGACACAGACAATCCAATGGACCAATCAAAACTTGAATTAATTACATGTGGCTGACGCGAATTCGAAGCGCGGGAAAACCTGTGCGAACGAGTTACAATTGATTATGGTTTTACTTCTGGTCGGATGAAAAAGAGGCGCGAGTGTTTTTTAAGCCAAAACTAGTTACTTTTCGACGCTCAAGTGAGTTGTGGGTGAGTTGTTACTGAGGTAAAATTGACCATCTCGGCAATTGTTTCAAGAACTATTTGCTTAATTTCAATTATTCTAGCTGGCCAATGAGTTAGTACCCGTCAACTTCTTGACAGCTGAATTTGGGGAGCAACAAACACGAATAACCAGTGTGGATTTCATGAAGGTATGGAGAACAACGATTTTAAAATATTTGTGATTCAACGTCGAGACATTTAATTATACCTGACCTTGGAGTTTATAATGTGTTTAGTTTTATCTCTCGGGGGTTGGCGGGGGGGGGGGGGGGGGGGGGACTCCCAATTGAACAGGTCGGGGATGCTCGTTGCCTCGCTTATGGGTATAAATCAAGGATTCAGGTCTCACTTAGGGTGTTCATGACAAAACGTCACCAAAAATAAACGCTCCTTTCTTTAGTTTAGGCCCGATTTCTGCGCTCTCTCGAGTCCGATCTACTGGCGCGGACTCCTTTTCTGAACAGCGGCTGGTAATCGATGCTATTCCGTTTTAAGTGGTATCTTTTAGGAATAAAATAAAGCTCGAGCCCCATCCAGATTGCGTTCCTTTAGGGGTAGTTAAAACTCAAATTTTCCAACGAGCACCCCCGACCTTTTCATATGGGTGATCTCGCGGTATCTCTGAGCTTGCCAGCTGGATTAAAATCAGCATAAGCCTTCTTATAACTAGTCAGAGAAAAAAAAAATTCCTTTATCTATCCAACTTATCACTAGTTTATCAAAATACCATTCACAGTTCAAGGACATTCTACGATTTCCTTAAAGGAGCTCAGTCACATACAAAATTACCTTTAAATGGTAGGAAAACTGAAAATGATAGTTTAATAAGATAGAAAAACACCAAAGAGATAATGATAAACCATAAAGGAACAAGGATGGCTAAGGATGGAAAAGATTTACACGGATTACAAACGACGAATTGAAAAATTGAGGCTAAACTTTTCGATATGCGCAATCCGTGACTGAGCTCCTTTAAGATTATTCCCTTAAAGCAGTTCTCCACCATGCTCTTTATTTAACCCTTCATGGTTGTTTCGGAACTAATAAACGTCCTCTAATTCATAGCTTTGGGACCACTATGATGCTGACGGCAGTGGATATCTAGATTGCATCGAGTTGAAGGTACGCCGAAATTGACAAAGAACTAGTACAGGCCCAAATTAAGATGAGTCATGACAACTCATTGTCGACATTGTTGCATCGAAAGTCATCCGCGAGAGTGTTACAAGAAGCAATAACTGAGATTCTCGCAATGTAACAGCGTTGTAGATCTTGAATGTCTATAAAGGAACCTGCAACAAGTTTTTAATGTCGAACATTACATACGTGAGAAAATCAGATCATCTAGTAGGCCATGTTGCCATTTATGCCAACTATATTGCGTTAAAAGTCAGTCTGTGCAACATGATAATGGCTGCTTGTCTGAAGTATTTTGAAGTGCTTTTTAAAATATTTGTCTTTTTGTTGTTGTCATTACTTTCTGAAGCCACACGATGAATTGAGACGAAAGTAAGTTGTCACTTTGTGGTTTTTGTCACTAGATTTGAAAATAATTTAATGACTGTATTTATCATAGCTTTAATTTCCCTTTCACAATTCCTTTTATCATTAGTCCTAGTTATCACAAGTTCGACTCATTGTACTTGTTTACATGTTTGTTTTGTTAATTTAATTTTATTCCTTCCTTTTATTCTGACTTAAAGTGTTACCTATTTATCGCAATTTCCGCCTCGATTAGCCTTTGCTATATGCGGGTAGTGTAAATTGTAATTTGGAATTTGTAAAGAAATAAATAAACTGTAAACTGTAACTGCAATTTTGCAGATAAAATCATTCTCTCCACCCGGTAGTTTACTGACATATCTCCGCTCCGCATTTTACTTCTTAGTCATTTTTTCGCGACATTTTAACAAGAAACAGGAGTGAGAGTGATGCTGAAGACCCAGATCTGGACAAGAAAATAGATCGTTACGTCAAAACAATGGTAATTATTGAATATTTTCTGGACACCTGTCTAATTCTGACCTTTGAGTCGGTGTAATTAACTTCCCTGCCACAAAAAGAACTTTCGGACACTATTTAGCAATGTTTTTGTCGTGTTAGTCTGGAGAAAGCATCTTCAAGATACGAGATAAAAAGTGGTAGGAGAAGGCAAAAAGAGGAAATGAAGAGCGGCAGTAAGGAACGGGCTGAAGAAATTGTTTGAGGTACCATAGCTACCAGCTTATTTTAAAAATCTTACTTTTAAGTACTTACAAGTACTCAAAGTTAGGAATCACGTGTTTTACTTATATTTGTATATCTGGCTGAGTATCATAAAAGGCGCCTCCAGACGGTTCACCAAAAACTAGAAATTTCATGCAGAAATGTCTGTCCTGTTTTTTTCGTATTCTTGTTCATGCTTTGACCTGCTGAGCTTTCCCATGACTTTTTCCATTATTACATTTTGTCAATTAATTGCAGTTCGAAATGCAGCACATTAAAGGGGAAAAAGTCAGCCTCGAAGAAATGTGCAAGTAAGTAGTAAACGCTATCAATGTTTTATACCTATCATTATATTATCTACAGTTTAACTGACTCTTATCATAAATTAACTCAATTTCTTAGCTATTTGGGAGGAAGTGGGAAGCAAAGGTTTGACTATCGGTAGATAAAATACCCATTTTCCATCCGCTGCCTTTTAAAGAATTTATCCTTGACTCTTTAACTTTACTATTTGAGTTCATATATGTCAGTGTGCAAATCTCGTGGCAAATAATTTTCAGTTACCCTCCATAGAACTCAAATGATTTTAGCCCAACTCAGGAAGCTGGCTGCTGAAAAGGCTTCCTTCTGCATCTCATTAAAGGAAATTCTAAATTTAAAGATTCCGCAATGAATTGCTTCAAGATAAGATCAACGCCATCTAGTGATGCAATTTGCTCAAAGTTGTGATGATACTGTGTATTTACTTTTTCATCATTTATTACTTATAGATATAATACTTCCTTCAGTTTCGATTGCCATTTAATTTCTTCTGCAGGTTTTGTCCCGTTGAAGAGAATTTTCTGGAGCAATATGAGGTAATTAAAGTAATACATTGGACTTTGCTGACGCTAAATGAAATAAATATTGCCGTATACGTTCACCCATGTGCATCCTCGACAGGCTTTTAACCGGGATTCGAAACGTGGGCGTTCAAAATGCCCTATAGGGCCTGCTCAAATGAACAATTTACCAGGCAACATATGAAAAATAAAACAATCTTCTTTAAAAATTGGCTGTCCACAGGACGCCTGGATGCCCATCTGCCTAAAAGCCTGATCCTAGATAATTTCGCTTTTTGTATGGGAAGATCCCTGCTGACGTCATAGTTAACATTTTGGCTCATTCGCATACGGCTTTGCGTACAGAAGGGAACATGTTAGACATGAATAGGCCATTTCCAAGTTGCCGTTTACCACTGTGCCTACAGGTTCATTTTCATGCAGTTCAAATTATTTTCATTTTTGCTCGAGGACTAGTTTTCAAACAGTGGAATAAGGTTAACTTGGAAATCGTCCATTGACTGGTGAAACTTATTACATGGTGAATACTTTAGCTCCTTAGGTGTAATGTTCGATGGCAAAAGCGTTAACTAGCTCATAATTGTCTGTAAAATTTGAGTTCTTAACCGGGACGAACAAAAAGTATTTAATACCGTGATCGGACTCAAATTCCTCGGGACTTTTAATCATGCTATGACTTTTCCATATTCAGATTAACAAATTGACGTCAGTTTTTTATGCGTCTGTCCCCTTATTGATGATAAACCGCGTCATAACATTGTCAAAGTGGCTGTGGAACCACGAGCCGCAGGCGAGTGGTTCCGCAGTCAACTTTGACAATGTTATGACGAAATTTATCATCAATAACAAGACCCCAGAATGGTCAAATGCCGGGAATAAATGAACGGAAAAGACGCCGTAAACTTGCCGTAGACAAAGATACGTGAATTTTATTCAAAATGACGCGAACATTGTCAATAGCTTTCCTCGCGTTTTGATTGGCTGCTTAAAAAAGTCTATAAAATCTCATTGATTAAAAAGTTGACAGTTTGACAGCTGAAAGTTGAACTTGAAAGCTTGCATAATTTAACATTTTATTCGTCTGTACTCTTATTGATGATAAAAATGAGCCAATCAGCGCGCGAGAAATTAGACAGTTTTGTGAAAATTGACTGTTTTTAGCTTGATCAGAACCAGAATCGCTTATGTTACTGAGGCTAATACTAAATAAAATTGAATTTCTGAACCTAAATACACTGGTCGACCTGAAGTGGAAAAAACAAAAAAGTTTGAAGATATCTAACCGCTGAACGTTCCTTTTACTGTTTTGCAGACATTCACCGATGAGGAGTTCGAGGAAATATTCGCACATTATGACCAGGCAAGTCTTTGTGGGGGAATTAATTTAATCGATGAATTCTTAAAAATTGACAGATGGCTGATCAATTTTACTTACCAGTAGAATCCTTCTTTCCTACATTTTGCATACTCAGTCCTTAACGTAGTAAATAACGTCGTGGTAATTTGAGAGAGAATGACAGCGAGAATCTGTAACGCAGTAATTCACTGGTCAGTCATAAAAAGCAGTTCTTATTAACTGAGCGGAAGCTCTGTATGGAAGAATCATTGACCGGGTTTCGATTTCAATTCCCTGAAAGTCGCTTAATGTAGCTGGTTCGTAGTCGCTTTCATTTTGTTTGCGAATTTGCCCGAAAAGTTTGGTTAGAGGAAGGTTGAACTCATTGACAGGTATGTTTTCAATTTCTCTAGCTTCCCTTGTTGACCAAAAATGATGCTTACAGGCGTTTAAGTCACTCTTAGTCTTGCATTGACTACTTTTTACTTCTGGACGTGCAAAAACATACTTCAGTTTCATATTCAGCGGGAGTTTTGATTGCTCGTTAATCTACCTTTTTACTCTTCGTCCCTTGGGCTCTTCCATTGAGTATTTTAAACAGAAACAAGCCAAATCATTTCGTAGTTTTTGCTTGCAACTTTCTCATGGCGAAAGTAAAAGTTAGAGAAATTAAGATGCCGATTTAGATGGGGAAATCCAGACCGCAGTCAATATCAATTTTAGCCGATCATATTCGTCAATTTGCTAGTTGTCAGTTCTTGCGGGACATGGCCGTACTATAGTATTGCATATTGCTCATGGTGTATTTTAGATATAAACCAAAATAAATTAAAAAGTAGATCTCTGTCGGTTATCTGCACTTGCATCCGCACAACATGGGGTTCTAATATACCTTTTTAGNGGGGGGGGGGGGGGGGGGGGGACTCCCAATTGAACAGGTCGGGGATGCTCGTTGCCTCGCTTATGGGTATAAATCAAGGATTCAGGTCTCACTTAGGGTGTTCATGACAAAACGTCACCAAAAATAAACGCTCCTTTCTTTAGTTTAGGCCCGATTTCTGCGCTCTCTCGAGTCCGATCTACTGGCGCGGACTCCTTTTCTGAACAGCGGCTGGTAATCGATGCTATTCCGTTTTAAGTGGTATCTTTTAGGAATAAAATAAAGCTCGAGCCCCATCCAGATTGCGTTCCTTTAGGGGTAGTTAAAACTCAAATTTTCCAACGAGCACCCCCGACCTTTTCATATGGGTGATCTCGCGGTATCTCTGAGCTTGCCAGCTGGATTAAAATCAGCATAAGCCTTCTTATAACTAGTCAGAGAAAAAAAAAATTCCTTTATCTATCCAACTTATCACTAGTTTATCAAAATACCATTCACAGTTCAAGGACATTCTACGATTTCCTTAAAGGAGCTCAGTCACATACAAAATTACCTTTAAATGGTAGGAAAACTGAAAATGATAGTTTAATAAGATAGAAAAACACCAAAGAGATAATGATAAACCATAAAGGAACAAGGATGGCTAAGGATGGAAAAGATTAACACGGATTACAAACGACGAATTGAAAAATTGAGGCTAAACTTTTCGATATGCGCAATCCGTGACTGAGCTCCTTTAAGATTATTCCCTTAAAGCAGTTCTCCACCATGCTCTTTATTTAACCCTTCATGGTTGTTTCGGAACTAATAAACGTCCTCTAATTCATAGCTTTGGGACCACTATGATGCTGACGGCAGTGGATATCTAGATTGCATCGAGTTGAAGGTACGCCGAAATTGACAAAGAACTAGTACAGGCCCAAATTAAGATGAGTCATGACAACTCATTGTCGACATTGTTGCATCGAAAGTCATCCGCGAGAGTGTTACAAGAAGCAATAACTGAGATTCTCGCAATGTAACAGCGTTGTAGATCTTGAATGTCTATAAAGGAACCTGCAACAAGTTTTTAATGTCGAACATTACATACGTGAGAAAATCAGATCATCTAGTAGGCCATGTTGCCATTTATGCCAACTATATTGCGTTAAAAGTCAGTCTGTGCAACATGATAATGGCTGCTTGTCTGAAGTATTTTGAAGTGCTTTTTAAAATATTTGTCTTTTTGTTGTTGTCATTACTTTCTGAAGCCACACGATGAATTGAGACGAAAGTAAGTTGTCACTTTGTGGTTTTTGTCACTAGATTTGAAAATAATTTAATGACTGTATTTATCATAGCTTTAATTTCCCTTTCACAATTCCTTTTATCATTAGTCCTAGTTATCACAAGTTCGACTCATTGTACTTGTTTACATGTTTGTTTTGTTAATTTAATTTTATTCCTTCCTTTTATTCTGACTTAAAGTGTTACCTATTTATCGCAATTTCCGCCTCGATTAGCCTTTGCTATATGCGGGTAGTGTAAATTGTAATTTGGAATTTGTAAAGAAATAAATAAACTGTAAACTGTAACTGCAATTTTGCAGATAAAATCATTCTCTCCACCCGGTAGTTTACTGACATATCTCCGCTCCGCATTTTACTTCTTAGTCATTTTTTCGCGACATTTTAACAAGAAACAGGAGTGAGAGTGATGCTGAAGACCCAGATCTGGACAAGAAAATAGATCGTTACGTCAAAACAATGGTAATTATTGAATATTTTCTGGACACCTGTCTAATTCTGACCTTTGAGTCGGTGTAATTAACTTCCCTGCCACAAAAAGAACTTTCGGACACTATTTAGCAATGTTTTTGTCGTGTTAGTCTGGAGAAAGCATCTTCAAGATACGAGATAAAAAGTGGTAGGAGAAGGCAAAAAGAGGAAATGAAGAGCGGCAGTAAGGAACGGGCTGAAGAAATTGTTTGAGGTACCATAGCTACCAGCTTATTTTAAAAATCTTACTTTTAAGTACTTACAAGTACTCAAAGTTAGGAATCACGTGTTTTACTTATATTTGTATATCTGGCTGAGTATCATAAAAGGCGCCTCCAGACGGTTCACCAAAAACTAGAAATTTCATGCAGAAATGTCTGTCCTGTTTTTTTCGTATTCTTGTTCATGCTTTGACCTGCTGAGCTTTCCCATGACTTTTTCCATTATTACATTTTGTCAATTAATTGCAGTTCGAAATGCAGCACATTAAAGGGGAAAAAGTCAGCCTCGAAGAAATGTGCAAGTAAGTAGTAAACGCTATCAATGTTTTATACCTATCATTATATTATCTACAGTTTAACTGACTCTTATCATAAATTAACTCAATTTCTTAGCTATTTGGGAGGAAGTGGGAAGCAAAGGTTTGACTATCGGTAGATAAAATACCCATTTTCCATCCGCTGCCTTTTAAAGAATTTATCCTTGACTCTTTAACTTTACTATTTGAGTTCATATATGTCAGTGTGCAAATCTCGTGGCAAATAATTTTCAGTTACCCTCCATAGAACTCAAATGATTTTAGCCCAACTCAGGAAGCTGGCTGCTGAAAAGGCTTCCTTCTGCATCTCATTAAAGGAAATTCTAAATTTAAAGATTCCGCAATGAATTGCTTCAAGATAAGATCAACGCCATCTAGTGATGCAATTTGCTCAAAGTTGTGATGATACTGTGTATTTACTTTTTCATCATTTATTACTTATAGATATAATACTTCCTTCAGTTTCGATTGCCATTTAATTTCTTCTGCAGGTTTTGTCCCGTTGAAGAGAATTTTCTGGAGCAATATGAGGTAATTAAAGTAATACATTGGACTTTGCTGACGCTAAATGAAATAAATATTGCCGTATACGTTCACCCATGTGCATCCTCGACAGGCTTTTAACCGGGATTCGAAACGTGGGCGTTCAAAATGCCCTATAGGGCCTGCTCAAATGAACAATTTACCAGGCAACATATGAAAAATAAAACAATCTTCTTTAAAAATTGGCTGTCCACAGGACGCCTGGATGCCCATCTGCCTAAAAGCCTGATCCTAGATAATTTCGCTTTTTGTATGGGAAGATCCCTGCTGACGTCATAGTTAACATTTTGGCTCATTCGCATACGGCTTTGCGTACAGAAGGGAACATGTTAGACATGAATAGGCCATTTCCAAGTTGCCGTTTACCACTGTGCCTACAGGTTCATTTTCATGCAGTTCAAATTATTTTCATTTTTGCTCGAGGACTAGTTTTCAAACAGTGGAATAAGGTTAACTTGGAAATCGTCCATTGACTGGTGAAACTTATTACATGGTGAATACTTTAGCTCCTTAGGTGTAATGTTCGATGGCAAAAGCGTTAACTAGCTCATAATTGTCTGTAAAATTTGAGTTCTTAACCGGGACGAACAAAAAGTATTTAATACCGTGATCGGACTCAAATTCCTCGGGACTTTTAATCATGCTATGACTTTTCCATATTCAGATTAACAAATTGACGTCAGTTTTTTATGCGTCTGTCCCCTTATTGATGATAAACCGCGTCATAACATTGTCAAAGTGGCTGTGGAACCACGAGCCGCAGGCGAGTGGTTCCGCAGTCAACTTTGACAATGTTATGACGAAATTTATCATCAATAACAAGACCCCAGAATGGTCAAATGCCGGGAATAAATGAACGGAAAAGACGCCGTAAACTTGCCGTAGACAAAGATACGTGAATTTTATTCAAAATGACGCGAACATTGTCAATAGCTTTCCTCGCGTTTTGATTGGCTGCTTAAAAAAGTCTATAAAATCTCATTGATTAAAAAGTTGACAGTTTGACAGCTGAAAGTTGAACTTGAAAGCTTGCATAATTTAACATTTTATTCGTCTGTACTCTTATTGATGATAAAAATGAGCCAATCAGCGCGCGAGAAATTAGACAGTTTTGTGAAAATTGACTGTTTTTAGCTTGATCAGAACCAGAATCGCTTATGTTACTGAGGCTAATACTAAATAAAATTGAATTTCTGAACCTAAATACACTGGTCGACCTGAAGTGGAAAAAACAAAAAAGTTTGAAGATATCTAACCGCTGAACGTTCCTTTTACTGTTTTGCAGACATTCACCGATGAGGAGTTCGAGGAAATATTCGCACATTATGACCAGGCAAGTCTTTGTGGGGGAATTAATTTAATCGATGAATTCTTAAAAATTGACAGATGGCTGATCAATTTTACTTACCAGTAGAATCCTTCTTTCCTACATTTTGCATACTCAGTCCTTAACGTAGTAAATAACGTCGTGGTAATTTGAGAGAGAATGACAGCGAGAATCTGTAACGCAGTAATTCACTGGTCAGTCATAAAAAGCAGTTCTTATTAACTGAGCGGAAGCTCTGTATGGAAGAATCATTGACCGGGTTTCGATTTCAATTCCCTGAAAGTCGCTTAATGTAGCTGGTTCGTAGTCGCTTTCATTTTGTTTGCGAATTTGCCCGAAAAGTTTGGTTAGAGGAAGGTTGAACTCATTGACAGGTATGTTTTCAATTTCTCTAGCTTCCCTTGTTGACCAAAAATGATGCTTACAGGCGTTTAAGTCACTCTTAGTCTTGCATTGACTACTTTTTACTTCTGGACGTGCAAAAACATACTTCAGTTTCATATTCAGCGGGAGTTTTGATTGCTCGTTAATCTACCTTTTTACTCTTCGTCCCTTGGGCTCTTCCATTGAGTATTTTAAACAGAAACAAGCCAAATCATTTCGTAGTTTTTGCTTGCAACTTTCTCATGGCGAAAGTAAAAGTTAGAGAAATTAAGATGCCGATTTAGATGGGGAAATCCAGACCGCAGTCAATATCAATTTTAGCCGATCATATTCGTCAATTTGCTAGTTGTCAGTTCTTGCGGGACATGGCCGTACTATAGTATTGCATATTGCTCATGGTGTATTTTAGATATAAACCAAAATAAATTAAAAAGTAGATCTCTGTCGGTTATCTGCACTTGCATCCGCACAACATGGGGTTCTAATATACCTTTTTAGGACAATAGTAATGAAATCGAGGGATGCGAGCTGGAAGGCTTCCTGAAAGATCTTTATGAAAAGAAACATAAGGTAAGATTTGTTGATTGTTCGATTCCTGTCATAGAAGGTGAAATAAGTAAATTCCTGTTGGTTTAAAAGTAGGATATTTTTTCGTTTTTGTTCATCGAGTGCAAAATTCTCAATTCACCCGCGCACTCCTTAGTTTCTACAATTGAACCTGGGTGTTCGGCAATGCGATGAAACGCCGTCAGGAATTCTTCATATCTCCTCAATCGAAACTAAGCTGAAGAAGCTGAGAAAAGGAGAAGTGAAATTGTCAACACTTTTTCAAATTAGAGCAGATATCTAAATCATCGTTACGATTGCAACTATTTTAGCTATTAAATAATCTAGTTTGAGGCCCCGTCTGCACTGACGCAGCTTTATTTCTACGGCTAGGCCTACAATCTACACTAGTCCGTCACGAAAACGGAACTTTTCGTAGACGCTGCTTAAACCAGGGGAATTCAGTGAAAACACCGGCTTTGCGTTTTAGCGTGGACGGAAAACATTTTGAAGACGGAGCTTTTCGAAAACAATGACGTAATGATAATCACGTGATTTCCTTTCCCGATTTTTCCTCAAGCACAAATCGAAAATGACCGGCGATTATGCGCTTTCAAATTTCTCCGGCTCAGTGTGGACGAAAAACATTCATGCACTTTCAGAGTGAAGATGCCGTTTTCAAATTTCTCCGGCAGTGTATGGTCTGGACCTGAGAAGAATATGAGAAAAGCCTGCTTTGCTGCTTTTTTTGAACATCTATGCCTTTTAGGGAGATGATCCCCTTTTTCTCTTCCCTTCCATCTTCTACCTTATTGAATTTAAATTATTTTAGGAAGCTAGTAATGTATTGAGTTTTGTTACCTATGTCTTTTATACAGCAGGGTCAGTCGTTTGAAAAATTCAAGGCAGAAAAGATGAAGAAATTTGACAAGGACAAGGACCAGAAGTTTAGTAAACAGGAAGTAAAAAATATCTTGGACAAAACGTGTTGATAAAGCAGTCATCTTTTCCAACCGATGGTTTACCGAAAGCGATATAACTATAATTTATAATAAGATAAATTGAGGGTTTCCTGCACTTATGAACTTTATTTACAAGTTTTCTTCTATATTGCACTCGTATTCTTTTTACCATGAATTTTTTAGTTTGTAATATATAGAACACCCAAACGAGTTTTAGTATAACAACTAATAAAGTTTAATGGTAAGAGTTTCATCACCTTAATAGCAGAGATTTCAAGAGAAAACGTTTTCTTTAGTATTTACGAGAGGAACTGAAGGAGGGTGATCGTTAAAAGATCAGTTTCATCTTGATCCTTTCAAGTTCTTTAAACATAACTTGTTCCGAGATATATAGATAGCTTAATTAAGTAAAATCATTGCAGCCCCCCAAGCGGCTGAATTATGACATCCTTTGCATATCGTTAAAATAACAAATTGTTACCTATGTCTTTTATACAGCTGGGTCATTCATTTGAAAAATTCAAGGCAGAAAAGATGAAGAAATTTAATTTAAACTCACAGGATTTAACGAAAAAAGTTTTGTGGGGGGATGCTGGGGTTTATGAGAAATATCGGATCTCGCTCTCTTTCTCAGGCTCACCGGGCCCTGGGTGTGAGAATGGGCACGTTTGGTAGTAGGGTAATAATGGATTCTTCAAAGTGAGGTTTGTTGCGAGAAGAGTGGAATTGAAAACCACACTGATGTGATTTTGGACTGATAAGATACATTACAATCATTCCATACATTGTTTTGATGCCATTTTACACAACCCATAGCCTCGACCTTTGGACGCCGCCATCATCGTTCTCGGGCCAAACTAGCTGGGAGCAATATCTAAAACAAAACCGGATTGGAATGAAAGCGGCAAACAGCGAACGAATTTCATACTATCGTGTCCCACAGAGATCAAGTTGAACATGAATTTATAGTGCAATATATTTGACCTATCAGAGCAACGTTGCAGTAAACAGAACAGTTATCCAAAAGCACTCCCTCATTTAATGAGAGAATCTCGTTGTTTTCTACAATCTTTCCCTGTTCGATGTAATTTTCCCTCATATATTCATTATTGTGTAAGTGAGACATGTGAGCCCACGCGGCGATTGTCCGGATGAAAACAACAACAGAGGCGCGCAAAGAACATTGGTTGAAGGTGGTCCTCTAACCTAAAAAGAGAACTTCTGAAATACAGTGAAATCAAACAAACACTCGCTCGCGCAGACAAAACAGTACCACTTTATTCTATACCGAGGTACATATTTCACGAACACGTCAGATGAGTTTTTCAGCACCTTGTGACAAGGTTCCAAGTAGAGATGAAAAAAGCATTTCTTGTTCAATAGAAAACACATCTAGTCTATAAATTCAACATATAAAAAGACTGAAACTGGAAATTCAAATACTCCTTATGAAATTTACGTTATCTTAAAGTTATTCCCTTCTTTGATGATATTCTTCGACACTTAGTGTATTTTGCCGGCACGCACTTTAGGAAATAAAAGTTTCGGTCTATGCTCTATAAGACAAACAATTTAAAAGATAAGTATTAATCCAACATCAAGGAAATTACTTACTTAAGAAAAGTTTTTGAATTAAAAAGACTATTGCATTGAGTAATCAGAATTCAATCTCCAATAGCAGACACCAACCCATGTTTCAGTTAACATCGAAACTTTGCTGACTTTTATAAATGTGAAAAATTCCTTAGAAATATCCAAGCCATTGTACTCATGCCAAAGGTGCTTACTTTCTTTATATCCCTAGCTCAATTGTCATGCCACATATTCCTATATTAATACGATATCAGTGCAAACTATAACTAGTTCAGTTGTGTCATGCTCGGCTGTTGTTGCTAAGATTCATTCATATCGGACAGCAACATCGCCAGCTCGTCCCTGGAGAGCTTTCCGTCGTTATCCTTATCACTGACACCAAGAACGACATCCCTCATCTTTTCAAGCTCTTGACTATCGTCGGGTTCCTGAAACGATAACAAAAAAAAACGTCCAGTTACTGTAAGACTTATCAAAATGGCCAAGGGTCAGTATAGCAGGCTCCCAAGGACCATAGAGTTGTGTGCCTGGACGTCACATTCGGGGATAGTGTCTGCTGTGACTGTTAAGGCCGATGCAGGAATTGCAGTCATTTCCACAGTGCATGCGCACGAAGGCGAACGCTGTAGTAGGTCTGTGAACTTGGAGCTTAGCCTCCCTCCAGAGTCTTCTCTCTTCTGATTACTGTGGAGGTCCCTTTCGATCTTGGCTGGCCCGCTCTGCATCGTCTGTTAGCTTCAACTGCTTCCCCGGTGTGATGGCAAGCACCACATCAGGTGCCCTTGAAGCGAAGGAAAGGTCTTCCTATTGGTCTGTTTCCCGGCTGACGCATAGTGTAGTCAGGTGAAGAGGGCTTGTAAGAAAACACTAACTAACCATAGGTCATTAAATGATTTTGGTTTTGCTGGTTCTATTATTACTGTTCTGGTTTTAAAGACAATTTAAATAACCAAACAAATATTTTACATAAAGAAGAGGAGACATGAAGGAGGAGAGTGGTAGTATTTCCTTAGATGAACATTATGGGAAGCACAGTGCTTAAATAACGTTCTCAGTAGGAGCCTCCGCTCCTGACCAATGAACATCAAGCCATATTACGTTAAAAGCAAGAGTCTCCATGTCTTACCAGTCCCATCTTGATCATGACGTCACGCAAGAGAACCAGCAACTCACTGCCTTCAATCTCGCCACTCTTGTCCTATAAAAACAGGGTAAAGAAAGGTAAAAAGGTAAAGTCTGCATACGAGCCTAGTGGCCCACCAGGCCGGAGGTTGTCCCGGTTTTCGTAGCATGAAGCGACTAGGAGTATTTCTACTCCCCCCTGGATGGGATGCTTGAAAGCCTTACTATCGAAATTAGCAAACCAAGAGCAAGTCTTTTATTGTTGCTACATGGTATAGATCTCCCAATTCACCTTTTGAATTATTTTCTGATTTTGAATCTTTTGTTGGAAAGCTGGATGCTGAAGGGAAAGAGTATTACCTTATGGGCGATCTTAATTGTAATATGCTTTCATCATCTCTGAATAATGTAAATACCCAGGCGTTACTAAATATTACTGATATTTACAATCTAAAACAACTTATTAATGAACCGACAAGAGTAACGCCTGTGAGTAGCACTTTAATTGATGTTATTTTCACTAGTCACCCGGACAATGTATCTTGCTCTGGAGTATCTCATGTCGGAATCAGTGACCATAGTTTGATTTATGTTTTTCGTAAAATTTCATTGCCATCCGCCGTCAAGGGAAATAGTACTGTTTCGTATAGGCAATTTAAAAATTTCGATCGTTATAGGTTTCGGTCGGACATCTT